ATCGCGGAAGTAGGACCGACATTGCGGTGAGGACACACCGTTTACTAGCACACAAGATTTGGAGGTGATTGCGGAAGTAGGACCGACATTGCGGTGAGGACACACCATTTACTAGCACACAGAATCACATACAAAAGTTGTAATGGTTTTCAAATCAGACCAAAAAACGACCCCAGGATTGTTGACCTTCGTATGTCTCTTAAAAAAATTTCAAAACTAAATTAATAATTAAACTTACTTTACATTATTAGTATTATTCATGCTTTAATTTCTCTATATTGATATTATTTCACATATATTGCGTCACATTATTATTATTTTTATTTCCCAGCACCTTTTGCTGTAATTTTATTTTTAACTTCATCTTTATAAAAACTGGTTAACATTTCTTATAACTACTATTACACCTGAGTCTTTTATGTACTGTAAACACCTCTTTGGCAAAAACTAAATCTGACATCAACAACTCTAGGTTATGATTGGCTAGTTCTCAAGGCTAACTCATATTGAACATCAGGTTTACGTGACGTCGACATCCGTGCCTATTTATTTCATTACACTCATTAAACATAACCCTTTGTTCTCCTGAAGAAGAACAGTGAACTAATCGAAAACGCTCGACATAAACACAAACAAAACTAAAAAATAAATATGACTGAAACATGACTTGTATATAGAAACCCAGCTTTATAGGCTGTCTGGTTATTGCATCTGCCGTTTTTAGCTGTAAAAATAGGATCTTACTGAGCATCTGTTTAGAAGCCTATTTGCTACAACGTGCATGTGATGCTACTATGGCTAGAGGTTGCACATACATACATCTATATATACATACATACATACATAATGATACACATACATATATATATATGCATACATACATACATAATGACATACATACATACATAATGACACACATACATACATAATGATACACATACATATATATATACACATACATACATACATAATGATACACATATATATATATACATACATACATACATATATATATACACATACATACATACATAATGATACACATATATATATATACATACATACATACATATATATATACACATACATACATACATAATGATACACATATATATATATACATACATACATACATAATGACAT